AGGATAGTAGCACTGACTCGATACATCGATAGGCCATCGCGAATCATTGTACAGGCTACATATGCATTCAATCACCTCCACCGATGCTTAGTGAAGTCGAACGCTTGCAGTACCCCTTAGGGATTGAAGAACATCGAGAGCTTTATGCGTTACTCTCTATTCTTATCCGTGTCACTTTCCAGCTGAAATAACTTTTTAATTAAATAAAACTAGGATTTCATAATATTATACAGTTGTAGTACTATTGTATTCTTATGTACACTGTGTGCTTGTGACTACGTTGCTAAGGTCATGTTAATTTTGATTTTGAGATAAGGCTAATCACAAACAATAACAAGTGTTAGTAAGCAATCTTGATATGGTTTGCAGTTCTTTGTAGCCAGAAAGGAGCTTTGGTCTGTAAATGATATTCTGAATGATTAAGCAGCCATAAGGCTGTGAAAGATGTGAATGCAATAGTTACTGATGCCACACAGTACACGAAATGGTCCATGGTTGGACCACGTGTCTGGACTAGGTTCTACGCCTCTTAGTGGCCGGCGAAGTAGTACCAGACCAAGACTTGCTAAATTACCACAACTCATTGTATAGGCGAAATATGCGTTGAATAAACTCTGCTTGACTTCTTGAGGTCGAATGCATTGAACAACCATAAGGGAATGACCAATGGCCAATGTTTCTTTTTTTTAAATTTTTCAAAAGTAAGTATGAAGCCTTCAAGTAATTAGATGGAGGAGAGCGTTGTTCGCATAATTACATTGCGAGGATCCAAATTGATTATGCTGAGTTATTTAGAAGCCAGCGGTCGCGTTTGGTGTAGCACTATTCTTTATGCTTGCATTCATCATCAATGAATCATTTGTCGGGTCATTTCGTCATCTCTTGTGAAAGAATTGCTTTCTGCTATTTCAATATTCGTCACCAATTTGAGCCAAGATAGGTCCTGTTCTGTTAAATCATCCTCCTCTTCTCCATATTTATCACTTGGGATCCACGGCGATGCTTCATCTTCTGTGACGAGTACGAAATCTGCGACTATGCTTGCCATATTCAGTACTTGATACTTGATACTTGAACGGCCCGTCCTCACCAGTTTTGCGAACCCCAGCATAATCAAAATTTTTCAGCGATTTGCTGGTTAAGCCATTGTGGTTTCCTGGAATCCCGAGGACAGCCGGCCAAAGTCTGCCCCAGGCCTTCACCACCATAGACAGTCACCGCCATTGTGGATCAGAGAGAGATTTGCTACCATGCAACTAGTTTGATACCAGGACGGTGGTGGATCCTGATATTGGTTTACTCCTAGCTAGGCTTCGTGATGGAAACGCCGGATTCCTTCTCAGCTTCGGGGACCATGCCGGGAGGACGAATCCCTCTGCTGTACATCGCAGTCCGACACCCAGGAACGCCTCCCAGCCACGATGAGGCGGTAAACCGTTGGGGTGGCCGTATTCGGTAGGTCTCCATAAAGTAAAGTTTTTATCAAGTTTTTATAGTATAGGAGATTTCGTGCCATCGATTGTTCATTGAAGTTCGGAGTAGAGATATGTAGTTGATATTCTTCGATATATTTGTTTCTCATGAAAATTATGTCCCTTGAGAGAGAAGGTTCTTGAGAGAGAGAGAAGAACTTGTATTTGGACTCTAAGCTGTTACATGTTCTACATCAGTCGTAAAAAGCTTATTTAGAGCGTTTTTGAAAGTTTTATAATAGTCGAATTAACACCTATTCGTGAATATCCCTTACACAATCCAATCCAGAATAAATTTACGCATGCCTAACTGTATTAAATAAAATCGATTGCCATTAAATAGTCAGTTTAAAATCTGCGTAGCATAGTGCCTAGTGGCAGAAGGACAGAAGAATACCTGTCTATATAGGGGTAAAAGTACAAAGTCTTATATAGTACCGATACAGTTTCACACAAAGTCGCTGAATAAAAATACCGATTGTCCTAACGGCTCACTTCAAAAGCCTATCGCTACACCTTTTCCTCTTTGCAAATTCGCCGAGAAAAGCCTCCCATTTCCATATGTAGTCAAATGTGCCGTCGTCGTCGTTTTTGATAGTCAGCAAGCATTAGCATAGTTAATGTCGTTTCCCTTTCCGTTAGCCTTATCTCTTCAAAACTTAGAGTCCGAGACATGATTTGACGTTCATACGTGCCTAAATAGTACTTCTCAGTCCAGAGTTAATTTTTTTAATTGGAGTAGAAGCAGCGAAAATTTATACACCTTTACTAGTATGACATAAGTATTATTACTGTGAGAAAATTTTGGCTTTGTGGACCAAAGGAATCTGATCTTTTTCAACCACAACGATGCTGTGATAAATCTGTTGTTCTCTTTTTTACAGCAATCGCGAGGTTGTTATTCAGCACACCTTTGCTTTCTTACAAATGTAACACATTCAACGGTAACCGACGTTTCAGGAGTGTCGCCTTCTTCAGAGCCTGGAAGAGTACACCAATATGTGATTTACTAGGTCAAACGTTCCAACAGAGCAAACAGAAAGACGAAAATCTCGATTGTTTTTGAAATCTTTCGATTTGAAAATTACTCGCGCAAATTTTTTGATGCTTTCTAGATAAATTCCAAAAATCTGAGGGTGAACAGCAGGGAAGAATGCCCTGAGATAACGCATGATCTAGCCCTGCATCTCAGAAATGTGGGGTGGTGCAATAATCAACCATATGCGACTCAAAGCGGCTGTTCTTCCTTGGTGGAAAACAGATAAAAACGGTGGGTTTTTCGAGAAGCCGGTGATCGTGTAATTATTGCTTAGATTTTCATCTTTCTGTTTGCGTTGTTGAAGCGTTTGACCTAGTAAATTACATATTAGTGTACTCTTCCAGACTCTGAAGAAGGCGATGCTGCTGAAACGTCAGCTACCGTTGTGTTGTGTGTGTTATAATTGTAAGGAAGTAAAGGTGTGCTGAATAACAACCTCGCAATTGCTGTGAAGGAGAACAACAGATTTATAATCCAATACCGAGGTTAATAGAAAGTCGATCTTGGGTGCTGAGATATGTTCACAACTCCGAACCGCAGGTGTCAACGTGGGGAAACGGTTGGATTTCGCTTAATATCCTGCCATGAAAAGTTTTACAAGGCAACAAATAGAAAGTTAGTATTGTAATCTTTTTCACTTTTTGCGGAGGTATATAACGGAGTTTTGAAATAACGAAGCCATTTTGCTCCAGTGGGAATTCGTCCTGCATGAGGCGATGGTGCCCCTAATTGATTGCTGATGTTTTAGGCTGAACCAGGGATTTTGGAAAATCAAATTTGGGCAGAAATTTTTGGAAACTTTAGTTATAAATGATGTAAAAAGCGACATAACGTCCTTGAAAACTCGTATTTATCACAGAACCGATGAAGCAAGGTCTTTTCTATGTGTGCATTGAATTTTGAACTCTTGAAGTTCTCTATTCATCGAAAAACAATCATCCTCTTTCGAAAACCACCTTAGGGTTCCAGGTTTTGAGATACACCCTTCAAACATAGACCAAAGTCGTACTGTTTGCAATGTTTTCGCGCTTTCCTTTGCTCTGTATTATTATCTTTCTCCGCAAATTGGAGCGGGATTATTGATGATAATAAGGAGCACTTCCATTTTCGCCTACACTTTCGACATTTCTCAGATCCCTCCTAGCATTTAAGCTTTTCTCCCAGCTCGAACTTTTGCATAATTGATGGCTTCCTTCCTGAGATTACATTACTAATGAGCCGCTAGTTTGCCGACAAGCAATTCATTAGCCTTTATGATCGGAACATACGTTCCTCATTTTTGTCCTAATAAGTGGCAGAAAATGGGATGAAAAATTTTGAAATCGTGAGCCTAAGTGGGCAGCGGTTTAATGCTTTAGGAAAGTTGCACGCCCGAACGTCAGCTGAAGACAGCTCTGGGAATGAAGAATTTATTTCCCGGCTTACTCGCATTTTGGTTCTCAATACTTTTCGCCGTTAACTTCTCATATATAATAGCCAGAAATTCGTCTTTGTATATCGTCTTACTTTTCGTCCTCACTGAATTAATCGACATGTATGTTCGTTGATTTGATTGCCGTAGTTCACCCCATCCATCCGGATGTCGACAGCTCCTAAGAGTGTTTCTTATTTCTTTCTTCATATTTCGTTTAAAGAAAAAAAGCAATATGTATTATAATACCACACCAGCTTCTTAATTGGTACCAATGCTTCATTGCTCAGTAAAAAGCGAACTACTTCAGAGACGCTGATTCATCGCTACAATCGGAGATAAGTGCTCCCAGACAACCTACAGCGATGTCACAATTCCTTATTTTCATCGCAGTCATCGTCATTAACGCAGTTGATTCTCGAATAATAAGACAAACAGAAGAGGAGCAGAGGTGAATAATTTCACTAGAGAGTGTTTGTCGTTTAACATTCCATTTGGTTCACTATTCATGGGCTGGTGCTAATGTGTAAAGTTGAGTGCTATTTTGCCATCTATAAAATTAGGAAACAATATGTATTCATTCTTTGATAAGCTTACACGAAGCTGACAAACAGTTTTTATTATTCGGCTAAGGCTTCGACGTCTTCGCCTTAATCAGAGCCGACGATCTTAGGAGTATTATTATTAGGAGATAATAGGAGTCAGTATTAGGAGGAAATTAGGATTAACGCGGAGAGTTAGTGGTGAGAATCTTCGCTCCGGATTACACATGCTCCCATGCCTCCGTTGTTATCCGATTGATATCATGCTTGCCGAGGAGGTAAAAAAACGTTAACTTTATACACTTGGTAGGCTGTGTGAGCAGTACAGTTCTGTAGCGCTTGTTTCCGTGGTCGGCAATACCTAAGTAACGATTGAATGAAGGTGGTCAAAGCGTGGACTTCTGCTGCAATTAAACTTTAAATACTTCTTTCATTAGAGTCACTATCAGTCAGTGGTAATTTCAACTGGTTAGCATATTTTTTTCTACTGGAATTTAAACCATTTGAGTTCGTTACTATAAATTTACTGCCACTTTTATAATTTCAGTGATATAGCAGTAGCAGACTGGGATCCGACTATTCGGAACCGTTTCGAAAGTTGTCATTCCATCGCCTCCTTTGCACCAACCTCTGAGCAGTACTGTAAGGTAACATTCATTCATATTCTATTTCAAATTTCAGTTTATGTACCCCACTTTTTATTTTTGATTTAGTAACCCTGACTCGCTGTGAACACCTACTATTTTATTTTTGCTTTGTTCATTTCATAACACACTAATATTAGCTTTCAACAACGTACTATACCGTTGAAAGGATTAAGGATAAAGCTCTCGGCGTTGATCAATCTTTGAGGGATTCGCCACGCATTCGACTTCATTAAGCATCGTTTGGAGGTGATTCAATGCATATTTGGCCTTCACAATGACTCGTGGTGGCCCAGTGATGCATCGAGCCAGTGCTGATCCTCCCAGAAAAGTCTGGGACCAATTTGCTGACTCTGGAGGGATGGAGGGCTTGGTGGGCCATGGGCCCGAGGATCGATTCTACGTGTGTGTTGCAGGGCACCTTCCATTACTGCTCCATACGCTCCATTCTATAGCGTTACGATAGGATTTCTCAAATACACCGCGTTTCCATCACTTTCTATATCGCGTTTTCTTTGCCTAGTAACATGTTGGATTACTGAAGAAAGATGCTTTTTTATAACCTTAAAAAGGTTTTTTCGATTTGTGTCATGTGTATTTAGGCTTTCAACATGTGCTGCTCGATGCTGTTCGATCCAAACAATGGTGACAAGTGCCAGACAAACGAACAGCGATGTATTCCTCTAGAGGTGAGGCACTGCTTTGAATTAGTGATTTTTTTTGTTTTTCGAAATAAAGAGGTGATACGAAACAATTTATATTGCAAATGACTTTGAATAGTTCCCGTTCTGTACTTTAAGGAAACGTCGATCCATTTCATTTGCAATATCATTGTGTTTAGTCATTCATCCACTTTCAGTTCTTTTATTTACCATCTAAGTTTATAGATCCTTTCCTATTGTTTATCCACTTTCCAAATCGATAATGTCGTCAACATTGAGCTTCTGCGAGTTCTGGGATCATAAAATTATAAAAACTGCTTTTGCACGTCGATTAGCCTCAAATTGGAACCGAATGAAATTATCGTTTTCAAATAGAAAACTCTTGAAGTTCACACCTTTTTGGGAAAGTAATAGAAATAGTTGACTTCAAGTAGATTTGTGTCGTCTAGTAATTCGACTCTTGCTTTTCATTCATAGACACTCAGAAAACTGTAATCATACTTGAGTGGATGCTGGTAAGAATCATAAAAAATCGTGCGACCTAAAGCACAATTTCCATTTGGATGTTAATTTACTGATTGGATCAAGATTTTTTTTCCGTAGTCTTGAATTCTCTGCTTGCAATTTTTTTAGTACATCATCCCTACCCATTTGCGACTATTTTGTTGCTCGCTCGGGCGCTAGCATGCTCCTAGATACGCTTGCTTATGGGAATGCCGACTCGTTCTCAGCTTAGAAGACATTATTCATTTGTGAACCTCATTTTTAACTAGCAGTTCCACACACTACAACACTCTCCGCCCACGATGGGATGGTTAAATTAGGGATTAACAAATACTTACTTAGATACTTAGATGGCCCGTGCTTTAGCAACTGTGGTTCCCTGGAGTGCCGAAGTCAGCCAGGCCAAAGTCTGCCTCAGATCGTTGTGAACACAGACAATCGCATCCTTGGTGGTTCTGAGAGATTTTACCACCAAGCGACTAGTTTGATACTAAGATGGTGGTGGCTCCTGTTATTGATTTATCCTTAACTGGGCTTCCAGATGGAAATGTGGCACCGAGAAGATAACAAGTGTGCTTGTTTCATTATGAAGGTGATTAAATTCATGAAACCGTAAAGGATTCTAATGTAGTTTTTTTTTAATAACTTTCCCTTTTTTGTTTTTTTGGTGTATAAACTTTGTAATGAAGTAGTTAATAGATCTAGTTAGATGAAATTACAGGATGGAGATGCGGACGCCGTTTGCATACAACGTAACTGTACTGAACTCGTCACTACTACTACGACGACAACGGAGGCACCTGTCTCTGAAGAGACATCTCTAAATATAGCTGGTAATTTACAACAACAAGAACACTCGTATAATGCTAAGATATTTGCAAAACTCCGGACCGCAGGTGTCTGCGGTGGGGAACGAATGCGCGATTGTTCTTCCCGGGGACCAGCGCCTTCACCACCACACCATGCGGGTCCTTCGTTTCGCCTGTTTCTCAAAAAAAACAATAACAAAATTGGAAAATTTTGCCAAAAGTGGCAAATGGCGAAAATTTTTAATTTAAAACAAGCATAATCGTTTTCAAGTAGATTTTCATAAAGTATTGCTAGGCGATATATTTTTGTTTTAATTTGCACCAAATAAATTTCTTTAAGAGTGTTAATCTAGAAAACCTCCGATAGTAAATTCTAGCACTTAATCGGGAAGCCAGCGGCTGAATGGGAAACATACATTTATCCTGCGGTTTTCGTTGTAGTTCTATGTTGTTCAGCAGTGTTCATCTTTAAAGTATTGGTACCCTCTTCCTGTTTCTCTTCACTGAAGAAGAAAACCACCTTCAAAATCTTCATTTAGAACGGTTTTACGAGTTGGCTTAACCTTGTAACAAATACTTCGGCTGCTTGCATGCAAACGAGAGAACAGTAACCTAGCCGTTTTTCGCTTAGTTATTTGTGCTCAAGTGACGAGCATCAGCATAACTCTTTCAGAATGATCTAATGGGTAATTCTCTAACTTCGCGCCATTGTTTAGTTACTTAGTTACAATTCAGGTGGACCTTCCTCAGTTATGGTTTTATTCTTCCCTTTTCTTTTTTCTCAGTTATCTCCCGTATTCGACAACTACAATTTCTTAAAAAATGAAGTTGTTTCATAAACGTCGGGATTTTTTTCTTTGGCGTAACAGTAGTGTTTAAAACTTTTTTGTGTAGGTGTTCGCCTATCCGTATTTATACACATGTCAATTTTCAACATTATTCCGACACCAAAGCTTATTTCGATGTAGCTGAGTCACGTGAATTCATCTTGAATCCTTAGTTGTCCTTTTGGTATTTCCTATTTACAAGTAAACTAGTTCAACTCATCGCTTACCATCGTCTGCTGTTAACAGCATTTTCGAAGATAGGTTGCACTGGCAATATGCATCGGCACCGATATCTGTCATAATGTCTCTCAAATGCGAGTGACTACTTCTCCAGGGGAAATCGAACGGCGAGAGAATGAATAGAGATTAGAATGACAATTACCATTTTCATTATACCTACGCTTGCGATAGACATCCAAACACGTCTACTATACTTTAAAATATTCACGGCAACATTACCTCATAGCGGAATCATGCTAATCATCGCCGCTATGTCTCGACTTATGGCGAACTTTATTAGTTGAGAAGAAATTCGATTATACATATCCTTTTTTACAAGACAAAGGTTTTGGTATCCTAGAACAATAAAACTCTTGCTTTTTTGGCTCAAGAAACGTATTTTTTCACGTTATTCCGTCAAAGCTTATAGTTCAGACGTGAAAGCAATTGCACAAGCGGTCGAGTAGTACGTGATCGAATTCCACAATGTACTGTCGATTTTCGCACCTGTAAAGAAAAGCCGAAGAAAAAAAATCTATGGAAAACTTAACATATACTTTTAAAAGATGGGATAAGCTCTATTCTATAACTCTGTGCAGTTCTCAACTCCTCCAATGCTCTCGTCTGTTGTCGAAAAGCAGACTTCGTCTCGAATGCACTACGGTAAACTCACTGTTGTATCTAAGTGTTAAACGATTGGAAATAACCTCAGAATTATAAAGAAGATTACATTAAAACGTGCTCGTAATTTCAAAAATTTAAATACTACTTTGTAACTCCCACGTCTGACTTTCTATTAACCCCGGCATTGATTGAACAATTCTTTCCATTTCTGCTCAGCAAACACGAGGTGCTATTCCACTTTCCCACTCACGTAAAAGCTGACGTTTCCTCGGATTTCGCCTTCCCCAGAGCCTGGAAAGGTCACGTCGACAGCAACCTATTCGGCTAAACACCTTTACAACCAAACAGAGAAAACGCCAAACCAAGATTTCAATCACATTGAACACAGCTCCGCACATTCACCGCTTTCTGTGTCTTCCACTGAGTATGTCGTGTGAAGACCAACCGCACAGAATTCACCTCGAAGCGTAATGTTGTTTGGCCGAATAGGTTGCTGTCGACGTGGCCTTTCCAGGCTCTGAGAAAGGCGAAATCCGCCGAAACGTTAGCTTTTAAGTGAGTGGGGAAGTGGAATAGCACCTCGTGTTTGCTGAGCAAAAGTGGAAAGAATACTACTTTGTTTCAAGTTCACAAGTCTTGACTCATTTATTATCTCTTGACGAGTAACTAAAGCTTTCTGTAGACTTTTTCTAAAATCCTGCTTCTGCCATATTTTTCCTGGAAATTCGTTTGTTTGAACCCTACTAAAACACTGTTTTGAGAGAAAAATGTCCTTGACCGTTCCATATGACAGCAAATAAACTCATCTTGTTACTAAGTAAGATGCACCTGACTTTTCTAAAACGTTTGAGCCTCTCACAACATTTAGTTGGTGGCTAAGAAGATTTTCACTGAACCTGTTGGGTAGTGATCCACTCTTAATAATGCGGAGTAATCATGAGAATAAAATTATCAATAGCGCGTGTGGCATAGTGACAAGAGAGACCATCTAATATATGCCGTCGTTGGTCTGAATATACTGAACGTGCCGTTGGCTATTCATGTTCTACCATCCCAATGGGGTCGGCAATTCCGCAGTTCACATGTATGGAAAGATAAAAAATATTAACTTGTTAGATCTCTGGGCACCTACTGCTCATTGCGTGGTCCAATATGCCCCCATTTTCATTCTTCTCGACGATGCTGTGAATGCGGTAGAATGCATGGCGCATCCCTGAGGAGATTGATCAATACAGAGCACTTTTTCTTCCTATCGTTCACGAAATTATACTCAGGCACCTGTCCATCTCCAGTTGTCATTTCCTATCAGAATATGCTGATTAAGATCGTTCAATTAGCGTAGTGTGCACTATGCTTAATTGAACCGTATTATGGCCAGGGGTATGGATGGCCAGCGAACACCGTCTGGTAGTCTACGGAGACAATTGCGGAAATTATGTGAGCGTTAAGCTCGGCGAAATCAGATTCCATGATATGGCCTTACCAAACCATCCTACTTCCTCTATTTTGCATTTAATTACCTAAAGTTCCCTTTTTTCTTTTCTTTAAACAAGAGAAATGAAAATTAAGATTTCTGAAATCGAGCAAGAGAACGACAAAAGGAGAAAATGGGGGCTACAAATAATAAAATTAGTGCGACCTTTTATTTTAAATAGGTCGAAGCTAATCAATTAGTCGCCAAAGGCATCTATAATAGGTGCTAGGAGCAGATGTTTTGTGATGTGGATTACTATAAGATACGGTGTTATGTCCAGGTTAAGCCAGTGCAGGTGTGCCTTATGACAAACTGTGAATAATAACCTTTTCTCGTTGAATTGATTTAAATATTACGCCTTCTTAAAAAGCTATAGACGTCACAATGAAAGTTAGAAAGGGGAACAAAAAGAAATCTGGTGGATTTGTATCGAAACAATGTGTTATTTCTTTCCTACAATGTATATTTTCCCATTAAGATGTTAAAAATAACAGTTCTGTTGAGAGAATCCGTGCCTTGTGGTGCTATTAATATTTGTTCTATAGTAGAAGTGCAAAAATTCCATCAGTTATTTTCGCTGCCATAACCGATCCGAGAAAAGACCGGGAGGTGAGGAAAGAACTTCTAAGAGCTGTCGCTTTATCAACTCCCAAATTTTGATTGCTCTCGAGTAATTGCAAATTCCTATAGCTTCAATTTTCCTTCACTCAGGCAGTTTTCGTTTAAATCGTTTCCTTCCTTAGATTCGACAGCAATACAC